TGATCTACAAGCCACTCAGACTATATTTCTGTGTTCGGGTATTAATTTTATACTTATAATTCAGGATCGAAAAAAGTTTCAAGCACTCTAACTAATGTTATTAGACAAAACCTAAGGGTTTTGTCAATGACAAAAGTCGAAACTAGGTTTTTCTTTTGTCAAAAAATTTTTAAAATGACAAAATAACGAAAGGTGACAAAAGGTGACAAAAGGTGACAAAACTGACAAAAGACAAAACTAATACAAGTAACAAAACTAATAAAAGATATATACAAAAATAATAACTTTTTATCTAATCAATAATACAGTTTTTAATCAAAAACTATTTAAAAATTATAATTCTGTATTTAAAATATAGCATCGTTTTGAATTAAAATTATACAAAAACAATGGCTTTGCATCTAAACAATAGTTTCGCATCTAAACAATGGCTTCGCCTCCAAACAATGGCTTTAAATTTTAACAATGATAAGTTTTTAATCAAACATTATTTCAAAAATAGTAGCTTTACATCAAAACAATAACATAGCCTTTAAGGCTTTATCTTTTACTGGAGGCTTTATTATTTATAGAGGGCTTTAACTTTATCAGAAATTTCGCTATCTATAAGAAATTTGTCTTCATAGAGATTTTGCAGGTTTTACGGGTTTTACAGGTTTCGCAGGTTTTGTCAGTTTCGCCGGAAGTTTTGTCATTTGAGGGGTAGGTTTCGTCTTTTGTCATTTTGCAAAAAGGTTTTGTCCAACAACATTAACTCTGACTATATTCCAGATTATTAATTTTATACTTATAATTCGGGATCCAAAAAAGTTTTTATAAGAACTTTTTTGATCCCGAATAATAAGTATAAAATTAATAACCTAAATATAGGCTGAATGGCTTGTAGACACGTCACTGCTAATGAATTTTTTGATGGTAAGTTACCAAATGCTTGCAACCATTATCAGAAATGTTTGTGATGATCTACATAAAACATGGAAGCTTTCGGAATCCATGAATTTTTGACAAAATGCTTGCAACCATTATCGGAAGTGTTCGTGCTGATTGAGATAAAACGTTAGGAAATCGATTCCGATATTGCTACACAAGTGTTAAGAAATTTTTTATACGTTTTACCATACTTTTTTCAGAAATCCGGGTAGATTATCTCTTCTTTGAAATGGGTCAAGTCTATTAAGCAAACTTGAAGCTTTCGTTCTGTCCTATAACAAATTCGCTTAATCTATTTTAATCCACCAACTTTCATAGTGCGCTTCAATTAACAATCATTATATTGACAAACTGCCATTTGTTGTTCAAAAAAAAACTTATAAAACTTATAATAACGATTCGACGATAGTATAGAAGGAAGCAATTCGGTTGTATATATGGGTTGAGTCACTAGAAACCAAGCAAATAATCTTTAATAGATTTTTTAAAACTTCAAACAAGGATAACTTGACTCCTCTAATGAAGCTGAATCAGATAAAGATACACTTGATGAAGATAATGATATTATAAATTCAGATAGTAATATAGACAATTCAGAAATACATAGTTTATCAAACGGTATTGCTAAAAAAAATACTGACACTAGTGATATTATTAGTATATACTAAGTTATTTAATTATTATTGCATCTTATTAAAAAAATTTTTATAGCAATAGAGAAATTGACTATACAAGGTATTCTGATAGATTTTTTTGGAACACTCAGCTTGTTGCCAAAATAGTCCAAAAATAATAAAAAAAAGAGAAAAGCGAATCTCGAAAATAATGCTGTAGAAACAATGCCTAAATATATTCCAGTAAATAAAGAATACTAAGCAGTTTTTCAGATAATTAAGTACTGCTAATTTTGTTTATATAATATCTAAAATAATGTACTAAGCTAAACCTTGTATACAGACACTTGTTTATGATACTGTCGAATGACTTGCTGAAGCAGAAGATGTAGAATTTATTGTTGATTCAAATATTGAGTAACAGAAACAACATGATCATATTAAATGAACATGGGTACCAAAAATTTCTGATGCCATTATTGATAGTTTCTATATACAAGTAAAGACATTCTGGAAGTTCTTCGAAGTCATAGAAAACACAAAGTTGGGTATAAAAAAATAAAAGCAAACTCAGAGGTTGATAAATATAATAAACGACAAATATACTGAAATACATGAGATAATGTATGTCTAATTAATTTTGTAGTAAAATCCTGAGCACTAATTATATTTATATATATCTTTTACTATTTATTATTTATTTTTTTATTTATTGCTAGAAATTTTCTAATCGACAAAGTGTGACTAATTATCTTGTCTCTTCTTTGAACCCCGTTATTAAAGATTTTGATGTTGATGATATTAACTTTCTGATGAATAAAAAAGATATTCATTCAGAGGAGGAAAGCTGTACTGATATTGAAATAGAAAAATACTGGAAAAGAAAAATTGCTGCATATAAACACTCTTATAATAAATGGCATTCAGCTATTGAAAGGAAAAATCAATATAAAGATAACAGATATAAATTTACAGAAGATGGAGTAGTTATTGAACAGTCTTGGTAATGTACAAAATGATGA